AATGTGTACATTTGTAATTTACAAATGCTTATTTTGAAATTTGATACTTTATGTAGACATGTTTGCTATATTTAGAAACTGTCGTAATAGACGATACAACTATATGCTCATATGTTACAGAGTACTTAAATATTAGAATTAAAACATGCCATCTAATAACATGTACTTATATTATAATACATACATATTTTTTGAATAACAATACTGACAGAAGAAAAATGGACACTGTTATATTAGTTTTCTACTAACCAATTGAATGTGCATTTTTCTGTTTTGGCATGATGCTTGCATAGGCCACCAGCACATTGGCACCAATTTGGCACGAATTTTCTCCTATGCCTTTTCGATCCCCTGTTCCCAATAGTCCTTTTTGCACAGACATACAAGACAAACCACAGAACGACATTTACATAGAACCACCGGACTTCTCAGAATTTAAAGATCCATGGGAAAATTATTGCGTGCAAAATGATCCAGTTATCCATCAACAAGGAGACAATAATGAAACTCAACAGTATTATTCCACAATTGACAGACCTTCACCTATAACTATATTAAGTGATACGTTTAATTCTGTACAACCCGTTCATCAGACTCATTATGAATCACCACTAGAACATAATAGGGAGGTGTTGTTTCATAAAACACAACATAACGATTATAATTCTTCTCTTTCGTATACTCAACATCATCATAATCAAGAACAACCTAATCAATTTATTAGCGAACACAAACAATATACATTTTGTCATTCTGAAAACACACCCACCACACAAGTTCACAATGATTTTTGGCATAATCAACGTAACGTAGAAAATTATATACCTGTAAATAATACAGAAAGTCAGCATTCCAATAATTCTGAGAAACATTATAATGTTGACCATCAGCACAACCATCAACACAACCATCAATACACCCATCAGCATTCTTACAGTAATGTAACAGTTCCAGAAGAAACAAGACATTATCGGCAACATGTTGATCATGACCATACTTATCAGCATTCTTATAATGGTGATCACAGATCATTTCCAGAAGAAACAAAACAGCATGAATATGTTGATTATCAACATGTTCACCATCATCACTCGCCTAATTACAGCAACAGAGAGTTGCAAGAAGAATCAAAGCAACATCAACAGAATGAAACACTTTTTGTTGATCATCAGCAGAGTCAGCATCATCAAACGTATGATAATGTAACTAATCAAGAAGCTACTCAACATTATGAGCAAGAGAACCAAACTCATCATACGAGAGAAGAATATATAAATGATAAAATTGATCATGCACAGCCTAATGAAATTAATATAGTTCATCATAACGATTTCTCTATTAAACATAATGTTGAACAAAATGAAAATGTAAACATTACAGACGTACGGACTAATCCACTGATATCTACTAGTCCTCCTCCTGATTCCAAACCTTGTACAGACATCCACAATGTAGCAACGCAATCTGACCCACACATAACGGAAGACAGTTCAAATGTAAGTAATTGTTCCCATATTGTTCTGTAGGTTGCATTAAAATTAAGAAAACTTTATACATATTTTCCTTTTATCGACTTGTATGATAGATATTATGTCCTTATGTCACTATATTTTATATGTGCGATTCATGTACTTAATAGTTTTGGGACGTTACTTGCAGTTTTAATGCAGTTTTTATTTCTACATCTTCATAGATCCTTCATCATTATCCTATAGTGATACCAATCAACTATATAACAGTATTTCCTTTAATACTTGTAGAAAGGAAGTTTATAACTTGGAATTTATAACATGATGTATTGTTGTTATTATTATTAATTTACTAATTTATGCCAGTTTTGTGTGTGATATTTTTCTACATGTTCGTCATATCTGCATTTGTATGTATATTATAATAATTACATATTGCAATCTTTTAAGGTAACTTTTTAAATAATAATAAATAATCTCTGAAAATATGTTTCTGTAATCTTATCGTTGTATTGTTTTTAGTTCACTGAAAAGAAACAATTTTAAAATGGAAAGTATTTTGTTGATTTTATAGGCTGGTCTTGCTGGTGCCTTGGCTCAAATTACATTGGGTGAACCAAGAAGCGCTGAACAAATTGCATTAGAAGAACATATGCGAAAACAAAGTTGGGAGCAAGGACACATTGATTATATGGGCCGTGATAGCTTCGACAATATTTGGAAGAAAATCTGCCAAACCCTCTCTCTTGCACCATCCCGATTACCTTCTCCTCCCAAGGTAATTAATTCATTGATGAATTATAGCCAGTTTAAAATATACATAAATATATCTATCAAATTTAATTCATAGGAAACGGAAAAATCTGAGAAACCTGAGACCGATGAGACTGCTAAATCTACTGAGTCTACTGAAGTTGTTGAACCTAATCAACTTACTGAATCTATAGATGAGGTGGATAAAGGAACTGGTACGTTTTATTTGATTGAAAACAAAATTTCACTTTAATAAATGTTTTAAGTTGTATAATTTATTCCCATATATTTTTTTGACAAAAAAAATGTATTTATGTGGCAATTATGACTGCATACTGAAGGAAGAGGATACATAAACAGTTTCGTGTAACGAAAATTTTGAGCAATTCTAAGAATTATGTAAGAAGCTGAAAATTAAAGTGCTCATAGCGCAAAGCCATTAACTGTTTTCTTGAATATGCTTTAAAATTTTATTTGTTTCTTTTTTAATTTATTTTTCGTTTCTTTTTTAACTACAGCATGTGGTATTTTAGATTGATACTCGAAGATGAAGTTTTTCATTATAGAAGTTAAATATAAATTGCAGTTACGAGATACTTAATAATATATTGGACAGTTTTATATATAATTTAAAAAAGTGAAAACTATATCTTTTTTATACAGTTTATCAAGTTTAAGTGTTTGAAACAGGAACGGAGGACAGCAACTAACAGATCCTGGCGCCATAGCATTGCTACATCTTGTATTGTCATTTTGCTTTAATGGGGTAAATATTTTGAGAACTCACATCATCACAACAGCGATTTTTTACAGTCACATTTCTAAATAATTTAAATATGTTTATAAAACGAAAACAATATACACTATTTATTAAAGTTCATATCATCGAGCCTACATCATATTTTAATAAATCATAGAACTCATTTTTCATTCATTATTTCTTAACATTATGAATATAGATGTTTGATTAAGGTACATAATAATTATGAAACTAAATCCTAAATACATAATGTATTAGCTATATGTAAAATTATCTTTAAAAGATGCTAATGCAAAAATTCAGTAATTATTTATAAGAAATTATTGATAATCGCATAAAGTTAATAACGCTTCTTTAAATAATTCATTAATACCTTCTCTGGATTATATTTATGTGGCTTGCTTATACATGTTGGATCACAATGGAATTCCAGGTGTTTATTGCTTGGGAGCTGATATTAAGCTGCTAAAAAATCATACACATTTACGATCATTGTGCATGATATGCTTGTTCATATTATCGTTCTAACGCTTACATAATACGCTAAAAATGCGCTGAACTTATTCATTCTGTGTTTCATGTTAACACGAAAAATTCATAGTATATTTTTAGTCAATATTATTTATAGCATTTAATGAGAGCACTTCTACAGTAATAATTTCAATCGCAATCATTATATTTTTCTCATTAGAAGTAGACAATTTCTTCAGGTATTTGTATGTAGATAACATTGTACAGAAATATGGTATTATTTATTAGTACACTATCAATACTGCATATAACTTTAGTAGATAATCTATTTTCAATTATGTTTTCTTATTGGTACGTACCTTGTTCCAAATATTAATAATAATTAACCAGATTTATTAAGAAACATTATAGTATAGTTATGTAACAAGGAACGTATCAAATTGTATTTCTAAAAATGATTCTGTCCACATATATTTAATGGTCTTATCTTTCTTTTTATTTAGCTCAAGCAACACCCAGTCATAGCGAAGAACAATCTCTACTTAACAATGTTCCTGTAATAGATAATGATAATACAGAATCTAAATTATTCGAGAAAAACGAACAAATTACTAATACTTTGATTTCTGATGAAAAAACTGAAAAAGAACAAAAATCAATATCCGAAGAAATACCAAAAGATATTTCCCAAAAATCTTCGATAATGACAGAAAGTAAATCCCCTAGCATAGTTGCAACTGTGCCTTCCACACAATTCGCATCAGAGACACCTAAAGAAGTTTTAAGTGAACTTGATGCGAGTTTACTATTAAAAGAAGTCTCACAAGAAAAAACTGAATCTATATTACCACAAGATTCAGTTCAGTCATGTTTGGTTGAAGAACAAAATGTTGAAGCATTGCGTAACAAAGATAATGCAAACTTCGTTATTCCAACTGAACTTTCAAGTAATGTAACAAACCTCGAAATTGCTGTAGATACTCAAGAAATAAAGCCAGATATTATAGACGAAAAACACGCAAAAGAATTATCTACTGCTTCTGAAGTCCTTACAGTCAGCCCGGTACCAATACAAGTTGCAGAATCAGTTCTTCAAGTAGAGCCCAAAGAGTCTGTGTCAGATTCTCAAGCAATGATTCAAGAAATTCTTTCTTCGACAATAACTCCTGTTCATGAATCTAACATACCTTGTTCCAAAACATCGCAAGATCCAGAAAGGAAAATACAAGAAAATGGATCAGCGACCGCAGTAGAACCCGTTCAAAATATAAAGAAACTGGATTCAGATGCTATCACGGGTGTAGCAAGTGTCGATACTACTGATAAATCGAGTGAATTATGTACAAAAACAACAGAAGTTGCACAAATTTCAGCTCCTGCAGAACAATCTCAACTTACAGAAGCATCTGCGTCATCATTGAGTATTACAACCGACACAAAAATACCAGAAACTTGCACTGATAAAAATTTGCCACAAGAAACCGAATCAGCGCAAGAAGCTAAAGAATCTGAAACATCGACGACAAAAGAAACATCAGAATTACCAAAGTCTGTATCAGAATCCGAAGTAGCTAAGTCACCATCATCAACAGAAAGCCCAGTTAGACTGTCAAGAGCGAAAGAATTAAGTCTACCCTCAAAAAGTTCTCAAGAATCTCCATCCCAAGAGAAAGAAAAAGTAACGAAAAAAACTGTAAAGAAATCTTTAGAGAAGTCTGCGTCAGAGGGAGAGCCTGCAGAAGTAGTGGAGGGTGATAATAGCGGGAAAAAAGTTGTGAAAAAGGTAGTAAAAAAGATTACGAAGAAACCTAAAGCGAAGCCAGAAGAAGGATTAGATGATGGTGCAGAAGAAAGTAATTCTGCTAGTAAACCAAAAAAGACTGTAAAGGTTGTTAAGAAAGGTACAAAATCTGGGCCAGCTCCTGACACAGATACACCTGTTCCTGAAAACCCATCATCTAGTACTTCCGATGCACCAGTCCCACCTAAAAGAAAAGCAAAAACCGCAGCTGCAAAACCAGTTGTTAAAAAATCCGACGTAGAATAATAACACGATACAGAAACTGACAATAATATTGAAAATATACTTTGAAGTTTCAAAATTAAGAATCATGAAAACAAGAAAGTAATAAAAGGTGATACTTACTACTAGTCTCTCCTAATTTTTATACTTTTAATATGTTTCGAATTATATCGCCCACAGTTTTTTTTGATGTTTGAATGCTTATAAATTTCCAAGCAGCATTATATTCCAATGTTATGTTTTGCTTCGTAATTTATACATATTTTATATGACGTGCCCTTTTTAATTAAGTATCAACGCTAAATAAAAGCTTTCTTTTTGTATTTTACCCTCACTTATATATTTACGTATATCTTTGGAGTAAAAGTAATACCGTTTAGGTATAATGTTCTGTAATTATTACTTTATTAATATATTATTTTAATATGTGTCTTGACTAACTTTTCACTCATTTATTAGTTTCAATTTATTTAATGATATACGTATATAAGTAGCTGTGATTGATCATCTATATAATGTCTACTATTTTGTCGAGAAAAACACAAAACAATATCTGTTATAATTCGTATAACTATTCTAAACAAGATGTCGTGAAAAACTAGTTAAACATTTTTTATTTTACACGAAGTTTATACATTTTATATGTATTAATTTATATCTTTATATATTTATACATGTATATATATGTATACACATATATATGCATATATATATACACAATATACATCATCACATAAATATCTTGTTTAACACTAGAATTACTAGACAGGTCAAGATAAACTGTTTCAGATTTTTTATTTTACAATTACTGAAATCATGAAGGTGCCTCTATGCGAAATTATTAAATAAATTTATATGTTCACGCACATATATTAAAAATCATATCAAATTTCAACTGATTTCTTCCTTTCTAGTTTCGATAAGAAATTAAAAATGAGTCACTTTCACTGCTCAGTACTTCTAGTGTTAAGATATAGCAGAGGTGGTGAATTTGTTTGAAAGCTTACTAAGATCAAATACACTACTTTTATTTATTATCCCATTTAAAACTAATCTATATCAATCTGTAAAAAGAAAAATCTAAATAATTCAACAATAAAGTCTATTTATACTTCTATATTATGATATAACCATTAATCTATCCTTTCTTCACTGATCCTGTCATATGTATATGTAATTTGAACAAAGACTAAATTTCCAAGTGTACATAAATTGATATTCTTATGAACTAATGTCTAGAAACTGGCATCGAATAAAATTTAATTTCCTTTGTCATTGATTTCAATAAATTAAAAGCTCAAACAAAATTGTATTAACTTCCATATTTTATTTATAAAGTATGTATATGTAAATTTCACAATAATTATTAAAATCGAAACAATGGAGTGTATTTAATATATTAATGCGACATGTACCGTTAGAAATTTGAATTCAATAATTATCTTCGAAAAACAGCATAAACATATTGTTTAAAATTTTTATGAAAAAAATAACGATTTGAAATCATATCGTTTTGAAAATAGCTAGGCTGAATTACAGGATATCCCCACTACCAACTGACCCGCGCAGCAACGCAAGCTTGCGCCGCAAGTGGATGCGACATATACAACGCATACAGCAGTGTAGTCAGTATGGTTGCTTGTGCAGGTTTTCTTCCGTGAGTAGTGAGGTAACACGGTGTTCTCGGCTAAAGGATAAAACGTTAAATAATGATTTGTCATAACTGAGGTGAACCAAGATCGGTGTAATGATCAGAGATATGGCTGACGATGAGGCCATACAGGCCACAAATGACGACGCCAGTGAGTGTAAAAGATACGCGGTGCAACTTGGTTATTGGCCTGATTCATTTATCAACTTTTTCGTGAAACAAACCGGACGCAAACCGCCTGAAATCAATCGCGGTTATTATGCGAGGGTGAAAGGAATCGA